ATTGTCAGCAAAATGAGCTTGCAAGAGTTAAATTTAATTGGCTGAATCTTGTAGCTGGCGTTTGTTGCAATGTGCCCATGTTTTTTTTTTTTCTTTTCCAGCTACATTGCTTTGAAGAATTATAGGAATTTTATGATGTGCTATTGGAGTTCCACTGGCAGAGATTACAGTAAAGGGGTTAAAGTTGGTTTATGTTAAAAAAAATTATGCAGAAACCAATAAAAATAAACACACTCCAGTAGACTAAACTTGCTGGGCTTTTAGTTTTAGCTTAACAATAGAAGTTTAGATGAAATCCAACATTGCAGCATTTAGAAAATTAGTTGACACTCATAGTTGATCATCTTTACTACACAGCGGTATAATTAATATTTAAACATTCTAATAATGCAGCTTGCTTTGCATGCACTTTTCAGCCCCACCACAGTATATTTTATCTGGAACAGTGCTAGCATTTTGTTAGGTAATGCCATTTTTTAAAGTTATATTTAAAATAGGATATTGGCTTCACACTCATTGCGGGAGAAATATCAATAGGCCAATAGGCAGGTTACATATGTCAGGTTATGATTAAAACAAGTCTTTACTGGAGACAATAGAAAATATAGAAGGGGCTACTTCATTGCCATCATCGTAAAATACATACACCCAGAGAACAACAGTTTAAAAAACTGTCTCTGGTTGTTCTTTTTTCCTCATGCTATCTATAATAAGAGGGACTTTTAATATCTAGAAGCAGTATGAAATCAGAGATTGACCTACAGATCTGTAAAATACTGCACCTCTGACACCTACTCATTTAAAGCTAGAGAGCGTTTAATAAAGAAGTCAGGCAAGTAAAATATAAAGTATAGAGTTTTCACATGAGTACTGAGTTAAAGCTCCTGTCTGCCTCCCAACTTAGTAAAATGAAGAGAAATCCTCCAAATGGGAAAGGACTGAGCTGGCTTATTTACATCTGTGAACTTTCTTTCTCTTCAAGTCTCAGGGCTGTAGGTGGTAACGAAAAGTTGTTTCAGGTGCTGCCCTCATCAGTTTAATCCCTTTGACGAATGCAAAGTGCCCCCTATTCTTGGTATTCTTAGAATTTGTATAGCAGGAAATAGTGTCCTTCTTTTTTTGGGCTCACTTAAATCAGTTCCTATGGCCTTATTCCGCAGCTCTTATATTTGCATGCTCTCACCAAAGTCAACCTGTTTCAGGTCCAGAGTAACGTGGAACCAGGACCTATTTATCAACACAGATTTGTGAAAAGACTCCACAAGAGCATAACTGCAATCAAGATCAAGCTAGGATTACTCCCTGGGGACCAGTGAGCCCAGTCTCTTGGGCTCAATTTCAAGCCCCTTCTAGCAGCCTTGTGGTGCAAAGAAGTTACCCAGTAATTCCCTTGGTATGAGAGAATCCTCCAGTACAGGGGCTGTCAGTACAGGGGGTACTTGAGAAGGCTTTAGGAGGTACGCGTGGGCAGGGGGGGACAGAGCACTGCCATGCACCACCCTGTGCTGCTTCACAGGCACTGCCCACCCGGCCGGATGCAGGGGGCAAGGGAAGCTTCCACATTGTGGCTGCCACCGCTCCACGTTCGGCCACGCACTGCCCCCTGCGCCAGCTCTGTGTCCAGCCACGTGCCACTCCTCCCCCCCCGCCCCCCCACTCCATGTCAGGCCACCGGGGATACACTGCTTCACATCTGGCCACCGGGGGTACGCTGATCCAAAAAGGTTGAAAACTCCTGCTCCAGCATTAGCTTTCTCTGTACTTCCTGGTGCAACGGTCTTTGAAGTGCCACTGCAGCAGACAGAGCTGCCATTCCAGAGAGCAACAGAGAGCAAAGGTTCTACTTCTGCTGTGGATCTGTCCTCATGCTTTATCACATTTCACTGTAAGCTTGAAACCAGGCCCACTCCTATGAATACTGTTAATGAAAGCATTTGTTTTTAAAGAAAAAAACTCCTGTCATTAACATTCTGCATAAATTCATATTCTTATGTTAATGTAGCCATTTCCCTGACATGTCACAAACAGTGAAGTTTGGTGACTATGAATATGTTCATGTAAAATGCCACTAAATGAAAATATGCAGTATCACAAAGCTCCAGCATGGTTCCACAGTTTAACCCACCTTCCCT